GCAAGTGTTCCGTCCCGTTTTAAAGTTTGGAGTTCTAATTCGGACTTCTAGCAGAGCCGAATTCAAGTGAAGCAAAACGGTTCTAGAATAACTAAAGTTGCTGCATGTACAAACTCAAGTTTGTTCACCGGTTTTGAGTAATTTGTGTTTCTTCTTTTCTTTTTCTTTCACAATGCCAGGTATAGTCGTCAACTTCTCGATTGACATCTCAACGAGTCGGGATGCTGAAGTGTACAATGCATCATTACAAGGCCCCTCCAGCAATTTCGTTTTCTCTGTCCGCCAACTGTGGATAAGACTGTGCGACTTCTTCACCTATGTGATTGGAAATTCAAACATGGCTTTGGACTTGCCACTTTGCACTACATGCCATGGACAAGTCTCGGGCACCCTGTACAGCAAGACATGCTTCTACCCAGGGAGAAGATCATGTTGCTAATGCCATGCAGCTCAAGTTTGTCCCTGTCAAGGAGGGCCAGCTGGTGCAGCGCCAAATTGCTGGGTTTGACAGTGTGATGTATTCGAATATAAATGACAGACGGACATGCGCCAATGCTTCGGCAGATGAGGCCAACTTTGCCTGCGTCAGTGATCACAGCTCATGCTTCGACACCTCGTACCTGCCTGGTTATACATGCGCTTGCCATCATGGGTACATGGGCAATCCGTTTTTTTTTCGAAACGGAGGCAAAAGCTTTGCCTCATCTCATTAATTAAGAAGAGTTTTGAAATACATGACCGACCGTCCATGGACGGCCTCAATTCGAAAGTCTACTCTCGCGGTATAAGAGAACTCAAATGCTTGGCCCCCGCCAACCCCCAAAGCCTGGCTTCGGTCTTAATTCTAGATGTGATTACATATGGCATGGAGGACACATTCCTAAACACTCTCGCGTTCCGCTCGTTCCAAATCTCCCATGAAACCAACATGACGACAGATGCGAGGCCCTTTCTCACATTGGCATTGACGCCCACCATGTGGTGCCACCAGTCCTTGACGTTGTCGAAGCTGCTCCAGTCGGCGATGTCCACATTGGTCAAGCCCATCCAAGTCTTGATCTCCGCCCGTATGTACTCGCTGGCTGCTCACGTTGCGGTAATAATTGATTCACCTACACATCTGCATGTTTGCAGTTAATATTTCCGTGTTTTTTTTGGAGTATCTCACTTACAATCATTTTAATTTCAACTTTTTTCTAAAATGTTAGGATACAATCGGTCGAAAAAGAAAATTAATTTATCAGGTGAAATTTCGTTCCCCTTTGATTTCTACTATGAACACAACAAAAAATGAAATCAATATTAAGGTGCGCCGCCATTCATGCAGATATCGCTATTGGGCTTGGTGTTGGCTTCGGGCTACTACTTCTTGGCTTAAGTGCAATGTTTATCCGCCGTAGATGGAGAAGAGACATCCAGAAGAAACTGAGAAGGAAGTATTATACAAAGAATCATGGCCTCCTTCTGGAACAATTAATATTATCGAGTGAAGCTGCAGGTGAAACAACAAGGATTTTCTCGCTGGAGGAGTTAGATCAGGCAACAAACAACTTTGATCACACACGGATCCTTGGCCGTGGAGGGCATGGCATGGTCTACAAAGGCATCTTATCTGATCAGCATGTGGTGGCTATAAAGAAATCTAAGGTCATTGAGCAAGTTGAGATTGAGCAATTCACAATGAGGTTGTCATCCTTTCACAGATTAACCACAGAAATATCGTAAAGCTTTATGGCTGTTGCCTTGAAAGTGAGGTCCCACTATTAGTGTATGATTTTGTTCCTAATGGTTCCTTGTTTGAAATCCTTCATTCTGGTCCAAGCAACGGTTTTACTTTGTCCTGGGATGGTTGCCTAAGAATTGCTGCACAGGCTGCAGGTGCTCTCTATTATCTCCACTCCGCAGCGTCCATATCAGTCTTCCACCGTGATGTCAAGTCTTCTAATATACTCCTAGATGCAAACTACACTGCAAAAGTTGCTGACTTTGGTGCGTCAAGATTGGTGCATATAGACCAGACTCATGTTACAACACATGTACAAGGCACATTTGGGTACTTGGATCCGGAGTATTTTCGCACTGGGCATCTAACTGAAAAGAGCGATGTGTACAGCTTCGGTGTCATGCTTTTAGAGCTACTTCTCAGAAGGAAGCCTGTTTTTACTGGTGAGTCAGGCTTAGCCCAGAGTTTATCTTGTTACTTTCTTGCGGAGATGCAGAAGAGGCCTATAAGAGAGATAGTCGCTGCTCAAGTTCGTGAAGAAGCAACCGAGGAAGAAATTTTCAGTGTTGCCTCTCTCGCAGAGAAGTGCCTACGTATCCAAGGTGAAGAAAGGCCTACGATGAAGGAAGTAGAGATGTCTTTGCAGGTTCTGCATAAGAAACATTCGATGTCATCCCATGTCACTCGAGAAAATGGTAGAGCTGAAGCTGATGTTTCATCTCACTCAGCTAACGGAGTTGATCCAGTCACCACAAACAACCAAAGATGTTATAGCTTGGAGCGAGAGTTCATATCATCTGCCAGCTTACCACGCTAAGTGTGTTCTTCAATGTTTTGCTGCTCATCCATTCCACTTATGTTTTCTGAGAGTGAGAGTGTCATAGTATAAGCTCTGTTTTTTCCTTAGCTGAATAAGGGGTCGGCCATGCAGCGTGCGAATGTTGACACCTTGGCGGATTCTATTTGATATTTAGTTAGCTCGCCCTGGATAAATCATGGGATGGCACGAGGTCACGCAGTCATGGTGGAATAAGTGCGTTTATAACTAAAGAAGAAAGTTGCAACTGTTTTATGTAGCGCCAAAACTCTGTTCTTTGGTTCAGTATGTAGTCAACTTTTATTGTCTCTCTTTAAGAAGATTAGTTTTTCAATTTCCACTGAACTTTCTGTTATATGTACTTGTTTTCTACATCCACATGTTTGATTAACTTCACTAAGTTTTTGAGCGAATTTACATGACCATATAGTAGAAGACATGATTAATGCCATGCAGCTTAAACTTGTAAATATAAGCTTCTTTTGAAAAAGGTGAATATAAGCATATCACTGATAGTTGATAGATGAATTCTGCTAGGATTGCAGTGTTCTGTAAAAGGGGAGATAATCAAAACTGCCCGAACGAGTCAGTATAACGTTAAAGCGACCCGGCAATGGTCTAAACTTAGTAGGTATGCGCTTTCCCATGTGTTTCCTTCCTGTTATAACAACATTTTTCTTTGATGGGTCTGATGTAGCCATTACGAACTCCTTAAAAAATTAAGATCACTAGCTAGGCAGCTTCCACGCGGCAATGCTCCATTCTTGTCAATGCCCTATCACGGGTAGCAGCAACCACGATTTGATATTTTCTCTGAATACACCATGTGAACTGCCATTGGTGACATTGGCCATCATTTGAGATTAGCCTAGCAAAACGACTTATGTTTAGGTACGGAGGAAGTAGAACCTTCACCAGCGAGAAACTGTGGCGCTACGCACGACAAAAAGTTGTGTGGCCTGAATGTGAGGAAGCAACCAGTCAGTCAAGCAGAGAAAGCAGGGCCTGACAGATTATATACGTAGACAAGATCCTAGAAGAGTTAAAAGAGATAGCTATAGAACAGGTGTTAAGAGCCTTCGATGATGAACCACAGTGTTTCATAGCATAATGCAGAGCAAGGTTCGCCTGTTTTAAGAGCCTACCTATCTAAAAGTTGAGTCATCTATTTTGAAACAGAGACAGAGGGAGTACCAGTTGAGGTAAGAGAACTTCAAATTAACCCTCGAGAACTTAGAATCCTATCCTTTCATTACGAGAGTTTAGCTGTCAGTGTATTCTGAACTAACTTACCATGTTATACTGTACACGCATCTGTAACCCTACTCAAACAGCAGGTGAAAGACAAGGAGCAATGTTTTGACTAACAGCAGTTAAAACTCCAGTAGCTAGAACAATTTAACTGCAATTTTTGAAATTTTGATTTGTCAGGCGACCTTCTCTCGAAAGAGAGGAGGCCACCCCTTTATAAAAATTAGAGTATGCTGCACATGTGTGGCGTGCACACGGTATTCTTTAGTAAAAGGCGAAAGAATAGTTCGCTTTGTGCCCACCACGCAGCTGCTTGAGTTTGAAACGAAGACGGTGCCGGCCTATATGTAGCGGGATGGCAGGGGAGCTCCTCCTTCGCGAGCGATGTGGGACTATTCCAACTTCTGTCAGACCCGGGGAGTGCTGCCATGCCAGGTTTTCTCACATGGGCCTCAAGCATCGCTAAAGCCAGTTGGGCTGGACTTCAGGCTTTGCACCATTCTCTTCCTTTCCACTCCAGAACGCTCAAAGAAAAAAAAAAATCTACCATACACAAAATACTGGATTAGTAAAGCGATCTTGCTCTTAAAAAACAGCTAAATCTGCCACGCAAAATGATCTAACATGCAAGATCCCCTCAAAAAGGTTATTGAACATACTTGAGAAATTTTGTGAACACTTGTCCCTTTTCATAACTGAACTTTGTGGAGAAAAAAGGACAAGCAATAACGGCGTTAGGCTATTTGACAAAGAAACCACATTTGCCAGACCCGTAATAACCCTTTTATTTCTTTTATAAAAAAATGCCTACTAACCAAACAATGCCCAAAAGAACTTTAAGCATAAAACTGATAACATTCTCATTTCACTTGTCAAAAAAAATCACTGGAAGAAAAAGGTAAGTTAAGGTTCTCATTTCACTTGCAAAGAATTGCAGAAACGAGCAGAAATGTTCGCGGCAGATGAGAACATTAGTACAGCACACGGGAGATCAGTTATAAACTGTTGAAAGCTGAGCCCACCGGTTCGATTCCGCACAACAAAACGTCCTTTTTTTAATCTAAAAACAACATTCTGAAAATGAACATGTGATGAAAACTTTCCGTTCTCCCATATTGTACAGTCTACGCCTTTCAAGCTACATCGTAAACTCTGCGTAAGCAGAAAATTGGCGAGGGCAAAACTGGCAGGCGATACAGCAGCCAACATCTATCTATCATCCCGGTGCCGCCTCTCCCTGTGCCTGCTGACCTCGCGGTGTCCGGCGTCTTCCCTTCTATGTCTATCAGCATCAGGGCTCCGTGCCCTGCGGTCACGCTCGTCTCTCCTGTGACGATCGCCCTTCCCACGGTCATCATCGTCCCGGTGGCGCCGGTCACCGTCGGGCTTATCATCCCTGTCGTATCGACCAGCTCCTGATCTCCGTTTGTAGTCTTCTTCACCGCCATCCATGTTTCTGCTCCTGCTATGTTGCTTGCTGTAGTCACGGTCGTCGTGCCTACCAGAGCCTCGACCACCAGATCTGTCGTGACTGTGGTGGTCTTCTGGCCTCCGACCTCCTCGGCTCACAACACCCTCTTTGCTTTGCCGGCCTCCTTTCTCGTCGGTCTGACTTCTCTCCCTGCTGCTGTTCCTATCGCGGTCGCCACGAGGCGGTAGCTGCGATCTCTGGTCATCTACTTTTTGAACCTTTCTTCGGTCAGTATTCCGATGAGCAGTATCATCCTCAAAGACGAAATCATAACTGCAACATGAGAGTAGATTGTCAGAGCACGTAACAACGCTGTAAAAGCTAAAAGCAATTGTCTAAGAAAAGAGATGAAGAGTGACCTTCGACGGTTATTCCCGCCTCGCTGAGTGTTATCATCTTTCAGAACATAATTTGGGGCTTTAGGTTTCTGCTCACCATCCTGGTCACAATCTCGGGCTATGTGATCTGGAGCACCACACTTGAAGCAACCATCTGCAATAAGAAATAACAGAGTCACATATTATTCATTTGAGAGTTTCTACATGGTGAACAAGAAATAATAAAGATGACGGGCATAATATCAGAATTGTAGATACACGTTGTAAAGCCCAAGGAGAACTTGCCACACATTTCTGATATGAACAAGTGGCAGAAAAACGTGCGGCTACTTGTTCATATCTCCAATCGTCTAACAAAATTTTAGGATACTTGCCAATCCAATAGATATTATTGGTCACTGATAACATTTTCCAGGCACTTCTCTGGGTATCCTCAGCATGCTCCAAAAGTTTTTTATAACAAATTTAACAAGAGCCATTTAACATAGTATGAATGATGCCATATTTGGTTGTAAAGGAACTCCTATATCCTTGACTATGTTCCACCTATGTGATTTCACAAAGGAATAAGAATTAGGTTTGCAGTAGAGTTCAATTTCACAAGTTTTCTTAAACAAATTCACATTTCCCTTCGGATGTTGTAGGACACATAATCGGTTCTCATCTAATGCTGTTGTGTGATAGTACCCATACCCAACTAATCATCAGAGCTTCGTTTTACTCATAAAGAGAATCCACATTTCACGACAATAAAATAATATCATGAAGAAAAATTCCGCAGTCAGGAGCTATACCTTTATTTCCATTTCGTTTACTTTGTCTGAACTGACCCCACAATTTTGAAACACTTTGGCTAAAATCAACATGGATCCTCCGATCATCAATCAGGCAATTATCCATCTGCAAGCACATCATTGAATAAGTAGTGTTTCCTAGATAGTGCTACCGTAGGAAATTACCAATAATCAATGAAATTGTAGGGCATAGGTAAACATTGTAAGACGACACTGAATTGTCGAAGCACCAACAATTTTGTGACTTTCATCAATGAAGAGTAACTGGCATAGTACACTAGTGCACAAACTCTTATAAGTAACTAAATGCAAATTAGTGGACAATTATGATAGAAGGAGCTGTGAGTATAATTACAGGAATACAGGTTCGATGCTAACCTTGAAATATGCACGTTCGCATGCCTCCTTTGCCTCGAATTCTGACAAAAGATCATCAAGAGAAACTGTTAGGAATGTGCATCTAGGATGATTAATACAGGTGGAACAAGTGTCGTCAAAGTTGAGTAGTTGACAATTGTGCCATCTAGAACCTTCTCTGCATCTAAGATTTTCATTTATTATTTAAAATAAAAGTAATCACACTGAAGTTGCACAAGTAGCTAATATCATTTATGTTTATTATTTCCTGTTTTCTTCAACGAGCATCCAGTTGTTGGGCATCAAGCAACCACAAAGTTGCTTGTTAACGAATTTTGTTCTGAACCTTGATTCACAACAATATAACTACCTTGCTGAAGATAGCCAGATGGAATGGCTGTAGGAAGATAGGTAGACAAAGGTTGGAGTGGGAGAAAGTAGAATTCTTCATACTGGGTTGATTACGAAATAGCATCTTTATTTATATAGTGCATGGGTAGCCATTAGGTACGCCCTACCATGATGTGAAGTCCAAACATGTTAGACTCCTACATAATCATATACATCCTTAATACAGTAGTGTTCCCTCATAGACTAGCAGTCTTCCTCTGTTGGCATCCCTCATGGTGCTAATCCCCAAGACATTTTTGTCCATTAACCAGTTAGTTGGCGAACTACACTCTACAATTCTATCCATAACTAGTAACATCAAACATGCATAAATCTCCCTTTGTTTGGACTCCCTGCTGCTGCTAATCGACAACACATTCATTTACCAGTTTGTTGGCAAACTACATGATGCGATTGTATCCATGGCTAGTAACATTTGAAACTTAAACGTGCATACCCCATCGACCATATTGTAGGCCTAAATGGCCAGACCTATGCAACTGTTCGATTGACAAACTGGAACCAAGATTCCCTACATAAATAAAACATTGCTATTTCTACAGGATTACTTCCTCGCGGTATATCACGGTAGTATAAAAGTTTAGAGGGGCCAAGCATACCAATGAAAGCATAGCATAAACTATCCCCAGTCTTGAAGTCACGAATTATTTCAGCTCTGCAACCAAGTATGTTAAGTTAAGGACAGCATAAACGAGGAGATGCATGTGTTAGTTGAGATTAAGAAAGACACTCACGATGTCACACTTCCAAAACGCGAGAAGATTGTATATAAATCTTCATCCTGCAAAATTATTTTAGTAGCCAACTTACTTATCCAGAAACATTGTTAAAAAGCAATGGGCAAAAAGTAACAAGTTCAGTTAGGATGTCCAAATAATTAGCAACGTAACCATGACAGTTTCAGAATAAAATTTACACGTAGAGGCAGCGCGAATGTACTTAATGTCAAGCTGTGTGCAAAGCAGGATGATAACATAAATATGAGAAAGATGTAAAGGAGCAGAAAACTATGCAAACAGTTAGAAACTAATACTAACCTGTGTCACTGGGTTGAGTTTGCAAACAAATAAAACATTATCTGGTGGTTTGACCTCAGCATCTGGAATGTCTCCAACCTGAATAAAACAGGTGTTTCATCAGTCATAAACACGACATGGTAACTAGGAGTACTAACAAGTAAGGTGTTGGTTTTGATATGGCACCAGGACTTACGCTCTCAAGGATCACTGCATTAGCATGTGCTTCTTTAGAGCGGATCAGCTCCTCAAGCTGACCAGGATCCACTGTTTCATCTAGAGGGACCCAGCTATCCTCTAGGCGCTCTTCTGCAACCTGTGTATTTGCACACCAAGAAGGCAAAATATGGCATTGATAAACCAACTTTCATATGGTGAAGGATGTTACTGAGACAGGGCATTCATACTCGAAATCTTACTGAAATAAACACAAATGGCATAACTCAAGTACTCGACTTACCTCATCACGTGGCTTTCCCAATGGAGAATTCTCAGGAATAAGTTCAGCAAGCTGAGGAGGATCATCAAAAGGATCATCCAAGATATATGTATGTTTAATCCTATCAATTAAAATTTTAGCAAACGCTCAGCAGGCAGAAAGAATGAAAGCAAATTAATGCTGGAAAAGAAAAAGAGGTCTGTTGGTGTGTGCCCAAATGTATCCCATGGAAACCAAGCCAAATTTTGCAGATCGAATTGGCAGCTCAGGTTTGGGCCACACTTGGCTCCAAAATGAAAAGCAGGATAGATAGATAGAACATAACCTAAAATTTTAGAATCAAACCACATAGCACATAATTCTTATTAAGCAGCCAGAGTTTCAGAAGAATGGCAAACTTTTGGCTCTCCGGGGCACCAAATCAAACTTCCACGTTCTTTGGCAGATACTACTCCCTCCGTTCCAAAATAGATGACTCAACTTTGTACTAACTTTGTACTAAAGTTAGTATAAAGTCGAGTCATCTATTTTGGAACGGAGGGAGTATGTCCTAACTATGCAATTTACCAAAGGTGTGAAACTACCTTATGTCCTTAAACGGTCTTCCTTTATCATCAACGTATGCTTCATTTATCTTTGTCAGTGTGTCAAGACCTTCAGCAACTGTCCCAAAGACCTGCAATTGACAGAACAAAGCGATGAACTCACTGAAGAAATTATCAACCTCTCACCAGCCAGAAAAAAACAGTGAACAAGGTTCTACTAACCGTGTGCTTGTCGTCAAGGTAATCGACATCATCCCGCAAGGTGATGTAGAACTAAAAAAATCAAACATAGATATTAAGAAGTTAAAAACAGGCAGATGTATGTCCTCAAAAATTAAAGATCAGTAGCGATGTAATATTGTACCTGTGAGGCATTGCAATTCTCACCAGCACTTGCCATGGCAATAGTGCCAGTTTTTGAGTGTCTTAATTCTGCACGGATCTCATCATTAAAAAATCGAGCTTGATCACCATAAAGGTACCTGGAGAAAGAAGATTCAGCTTTCAGACATATCTTTGGCAGTAGTAGCCAGACTAAATTCAAGTAAATATCGAACACAAAAGACCAAATTGTATGGTTCAGAGCACGCACACGCGCACACACACACACACACACACACACACACACACACACACACGTGCGCGCACACAAAAACATAAGTTGGGGGAAACACATATTGAGAGTTCGGTAAAACAATGCTCACTTGTACACGGAATCACCACCACTGCCAGTTCCAGTCGGGTCTCCAGATTGTGCCAAGAAATCCTTCTCGACCTTGTGGAACAGACACCCATTATAATACTTCATTCTGTGTAAGTCAAAGCATAATGTCAAAGAATGAGTACCCTGATTACTAATAATCGATTCACTGCATCAGCTCCTGCCGTCCATTATGTGTGGTAAGAACAGCAGACACATCTGTAATCACTGTAATTTGGAATCCTAAATCTACAGCGGGGTGGAAACAAGCCACTAGAAACAAACAAAGTGCTACATCACAATAAGGCGCACAAGGCCCGCAGCACAATCTCAATTCAGTTCTGAAGATGTCATAGATAATTATGAATGAAACATAACAGCACCAGGCATCAGATAGCAATCCTCTAATGCACCCTAAGATGGCGACTAGAGCTCCACTTGCTTGAAATGAGGTAAAATTAGACGCCAATCCGCTTATCCCCAATGCAGCTGACCTTCATATAAGATGTTCACAGTATCACTAAGCAACCAGAAACAGCACGAGCACCGGAGGAGGATTCGCAGAACTACGGGAACACGCGAGTCGCACCTACAGCTACAGGCAATCTCGAATCAATCCAGGCGCCGCACAACACTAAATTACAGCCAAACTGGTAGCGAACTTGCCCGCTTAATCAGAGACGAAATCAATCAAAAGCCGGCCGTGTGGCGCATACAGACCGAACGAAACCGCACAGAGAACGAGCCCTATGTACGGCTGCTTACTTGCAGAGCTTGAGGAAGTTCTTGGTGGTGAGGGGGCACAGGTCGGTGTGGAGATCCAGCTCGATGTCGCCCACGCTCGTGACCATCAGGACCGACATCTTGGCCCCTCGCCGGCGGCAAGCGAACGGCGGCGGCGGGTGCGGTGCGGGAGGGGGGCCGAGGAGGCGGCGGGACTTTGGTGGCGCTGGGGATTGGAGAGGGGATTCGGGCGCCGGCGGAGCGCCGCCGAGGAGGGCACGCCGTGACAATCCCAACCCTAACTTTCTGGAAACAACCCCCGCCGATGAGGGCTTGGGATGGAGAGGCAGAAACCCGAGAGGGTTTTCTGGAAAAGTACGTCACTGGGAGAACTGGAATGGAATCCAGTAGATCGACGCCGTCCGTGAAAGATCGGACGGCTGGGATTTTTTTGCTTTGGAAACATGACGGTTGGGAATTCAGAGAGCAAGTTCTTTTTTTTTGCGGGCCGAGCAAGTTCTTCATGCTTTGGGTACACAAGCGTCATGGCCGCTTAACAAAAATTTCATCGATATTCAGAGAGAACTAGAAGAACAAGGATAGGGCTAGAAGAGTTTTCTTTTGTCTCGAATCGTAAAAAGGGTTGAGTTAGCTCGGTTGTTGAGAGCGTCCATGTTCGATTCAAATTATTTGGTAGTCAATCCAAATTTTGCTTCGAGATCCAGTTTATTTCCAATTTTTTGAGCTTTAGTTTTTCAGTTTGATGGTGATTTGTTTTTTAAACGAACACAAGAAGTGCCCAGTTTTAAACAAATAAAGCCAATAATGACCAGAATACATACAGACCATGAATCGAAAGGATGGGAAGTAAAGCAAAGATAAAAACTCATGGACATAAGGTGCAACTCATAGAAGAGCACTAGCATGGCACCGAGACGGGCTGATCTAGCTCAAGGGTTCCTGTGGTAGGTGTGAAGCTGCTTGATCTTGAGAAGAATGTTCGCCACAGCATCACTGCCCTTTCTCTTCCCTACAAATCGCAATGGTGTATAAATAGAAACCATTTGAAAATATAGTTAGCGCGGTGGGATGGGATAGTTCCCTCAATAGCCAACTTATTCTGAATAGTCCAAAGCGTCCAAGCTAAGGCACTAAATGTTCTTCAAGCTAAACGCCGTTCTTAACCTCAGGTGGATTTTAATAGCGTAAGGATATCAAACATAGAGTTAGGATTCTGGTTGTATCTGAAGCAATCTCTGACACAACTCTAGAGAAATTTAGCCGGGGTACAACGGAACAGGATGTGACTAGTGCCCGCACATCGCCCATAGCACACCAACCATTGCTCTGGTCATGACGCTTTTCAAGATTGATGGCCGTAGGTAGACGGTCTTGAGTAGCCCGCCACAGGAAAATGCAGACTTTGGACGAAATTTGAGATGCCCAAAAAACCTTGGTGTACCGAACCTTAGGCCCACAGACCAATTTGGCCCATGAACCTTGGTGAATTATTTTGCCTTTTACCAATGAATCCAAAAAAGTTGCATGTTAGCATAAAGATAGACCGGTGAGAACAAAAACTATAGCACCCCCACACAAAGGCACCACCACATGACCTATGCCATCATCACAAACTGACACAACTTGAGAAGAATTATCCATCGAGGCCATCCATAAATGACATAGTCATCACTGTCGTGGTTAATACAACAATTTCAACAATCATGAACTACCACCAACGCACCAATCATTCTAACTATGTTGAGAAAGGTATGTATTCTTATTAGTTTGGTTAGTACCACAAGTGGTGGACTAAACAACCCATTCGAACCTCACCACCTCCTATTTAATTTCAATACAATTTCTCCTGTGATGAACTCATTTTATTTTGGACCACTGTGTTGGGGACATGACAACTTCGATTTGCGCATCCGGCCTTGTGACAAAATGGCAGACCAATACCATGCTCTTCTTGCCACCATAGTCGTTTCCACACATTGCACACTAAATGATCCAAAGTAGATGCCCAAATATCCCCTCATCAGCAATCCACCAACCACAGTCGGCTGCGAGCCACGTCCAAAGAGTGGGAACAATAAACATCTCCATTGGTTGGTCACCCAAGACCATGGGGGAGAGCAACGCCGCAATGACGCACGTGCATGCACCCACTGATGTCAATGGTGCTAGTGTGCATCGCTATACTTCGTTCTATTCAATACCGGCACAATATTTCACTTGGAGTTGCCATGATCCCCTCCAACTTGCACCAATGAGCACACCCCGCAGCTCACCACCTTCACCGTGTGCTACTCTCCAAATATTTGAAACCAGATCCAAGCTAATTAAGCTCCTGATCGACGATACCCACACGAACAACACCCGACACCCTTTTTCACATCACCTGGCATCATGCCTGGCCACCACCAAACCTACCATGAGGCATATTTGCCCCCCCCCCATATCCCCTAGATTTTTTTGGGGTATCTACCTCGAGGTGCGCCATAAACAATCGATGCATCGAGGAACTAAAACCCAGCCCTACATCTGAAGGAAATATGCCCTAGAGGCAATAATAAAGTTATTATTTATTTCCTTATTTCATGATAAATGTTTATTATTCATGCTAGAATTGTATTAACCGGAAACATAATACATGTGTGAATACATAGACAAACAGAGTGTCACTAGTATGCCTCTACTTGACTAGCTCGTTAATCAAAGATGGTTATGTTTCCTAACCATAGACAAAGAAGTTGTTATTTGATTAACGAGGTCACATCATTAGTCGAATGATCTGATTGACATGACCCATTCCATTAGCTTAGCACCAGATCGTTTAGTATGTTGCTATTGCTTTCTTCATGACTTATACATGTTCCTATGACTATGAGATTATGCAACTCCCGTTTACCGGAGGAACACTTTGGGTACTACCAAACGTCACAACGTAACTGGGTGATTATAAAGGAGTACTACAGGTGTCTCCAATGGTCGATGTTGGGTTGGCGTATTTCGAGATTAGGATTTGTCACTCCGATTGTCGGAGAGGTATCTCTGGGCCCTCTCGGTAATACACATCACATAAGCCTTGCAAGCATTACAACTAATATGTTAGTTGTGAGATGATGTATTACGGAACGAGTAAAGAGACTTGCTGGTAACGAGATTGAACTAGGTATTGGATACCGACGATCGAATCTCGGGCAAGTAACATACCGATGACAAAGGGAACAACGTATGTTGTTATGCGGTCTGACCGATAAAGATCTTCGTAGAATATGTAGGAGCCAATATGGGCATCCAGGTCCCGCTATTGGTTATTGACCGGAGACGTGTCTCGGTCATGTCTACATTGTTCTCGAACCCGTAGGGTCCGCACGCTTAAGGTTTCGATGACAGTTATATTATGAGTTTATGAGTTTTGATGTACCGAAGGAGTTCGGAGTCCCGTATGAGATCGGGGACATGACGAGGAGTCTCGAAATGGTCGAGACGTAAAGATCGATATATTGGACGACTATATTCGGACATCGGAAAGGTTCCGAATGATTCGGGTATTTTTCGGAGTACCGGGTAGTTACGGGAGAAGTAATGGGCCTTGATGGGCTTTAGTGGGAAGAGGAAATAGGCTGCTGCGCCCCCCCTCCCCTTTGGTCCGAATTGGACTAGGGAAAAGGGGGCCGGCCACCTCTCCTTCTCCTCCTATTCCTTCTCCCTTCCTCCCTCTTGGTGGACTCCTACTAGGACTTGGAGTCCTAGTAGGACTCCCTATCCTGGCCGCACCTTTGCCTTGGCCGGCCTCCTCCTCCTCCATCCTTTATATACGGAGGCAGGGGCACCTCTAAACACACAAGTTGACACAAGTTGATCCACGTGATCGATTCCTTAGCCGTGTGCGGTGCCCCCTGCCACCATATTCCTCGATAATACTGTAGCGGAGTTTAGGCGAAGCCCTGCTGCTGTAGTTCATCAAGATCATCACCACGCCGTCGTGCTGACGGAACTCATCCCCGACACTTTGCTGGATCGGAGTCCGGGGATCGTCATCGAGCTGAACGTGTGCTCGAACTCGGAGGTGCCGTAGTTTCGGTGCTTGATCGGTTGGATCGTGAAGACGTACGACTACTTCCTCTACGTCGTGTCATCGCTTCCGCAGTCGGTCTGCGTTGGGTACGTAGACAATACTCTCCCCCTCGTTGCTATGCATCACATGATCCTGTGTGCGCGTAGGAAAAATTTGAAATTTCTACGTTCCCCAACAGTGGCATCCGAGCCTAGGTTATTGATGTTGATGTTATATGCACGAGTAGAACACAAGTAAGTTGTGGACGATACAAGTCATACTGCCTACCAGCATGTCATACTTTGGTTCGGCGGTATTGTTGGACGAGACGACCCGGACCAACCTTACGCGTACGCTTACGCGAGACCGGTTCCCTCGACGTGCTTTGCACAGAGATGGCTTGCGGGCGACTGCTTCTCCAACTTTAGTTGAACCAAGTATGGCTACGCCCGGTCCTTGCGAAGGTTAAAACGGAGTCTATTTGACAAACTATCGTTGTGGTTTTGATGCGTAGGTGAGATTGGTTCTTACTTAAGCCCGTAGCAGCCACGTAAAACATGCAACAACAAAGTAGAGGACGTCTAACTTGTTTTTGCAGGGCATGTTGTGATGTGATATGGTCAAGGCATGATGCTGAATTTTATTGTATGAGATGATCATGTTTTGTAACCGAGTTATCGGCAACTGGCAGGAGCCATATGGTTGTCGCTTTATTGTATGCAATGCAATCGCGATGTAATGCTTTACTTTATTACTAAACGGTAGTGATAGTCGTGGAAGCATAAGATTGGCGAGACGACAACGATGCTACGATGGAGATCAAGGTGTCGCGCCGGTGACGATGGTGATCATGACGGTGCTTCGGAGATGGAGATCAAAAGCACAAGATGATGATGGCCATATCATATCACTTATATTGATTGCATGTGATGTTTATCTTTTTATGCATCTTATCTTGCTTTGATTGACGGTAGCATTATAAGATGATCTCTCACTAAATTATCAAGAAGTGTTCTCCCTGAGTATGCACCGTTGCAAAAGTTCTTCGTGCTGAGACACCACGTGATGATCGGG